AAACATATGTTATATTTATTAATGTCGAATGACGTAATTAGACATCAAAATGGCGTCGTCATTTGACATTTATGACGTTAGTTTGCTGCTTGGGAGGAAAAATATACATGATGTCAAAAATTAGTAACATCTGAAAGTAGCCAAAATGACATTATAGTCAAAATGACATCATTTCGATGTCTATAATAACCTCATTCAACGTTAAAATAACGTATGCTTGCTCTCTGGGTTCCCAAATAATGGAACTGAAAATCAAAATGTCAATATTAACGTTTTAATTATATTGATCAAATTTGGAGTTCAAATTGATATCAAAATGACTGCATTACTTTTCTGTTCTACTTATAGATTTTTAGAATCAAGTGGAGATTGTGGCTTTATAGATTTTTGTTGAAGAAAAATTATCTCTAAATATCTCAGGAATAACTTTATTCCTGAATCGGCTATCTTTAGAGGGGAAAACATAATAAGTCATATACTTATTTTTTCTGTAGAAGAAAAATTCTTTGATAAAACTTTATTATATGGTTCTAGGAATTCCTTATTCGACAGCCAATCAGTACATCCGACCACATTCCGTCAATTTCGTCACATGTGAATGTAATCACACCCTGGATTGTAGGGACTACGTCATCGATCCATACATCTGCCATGATGATATATTTAGAGAAATGTAAGTATATGTAACATGCATTTCTACATGCGTGTGCATATATATACATATGGGTTAATAGTGGTTAGTAGTTAACCGCGAATTCCTGCTATGAGTTGATACATCAATGTCCAATTGTGAGACTAATGAAGTTGTGTCTTATTCGAAGGAAAAGAAAATCGAATTATATACTTCAGCAACAGCGTAGCGAAGTAGGAAGCGTTTTTACAGAGATCCTCGTGTGTACGATTCCGAAAATAAACGGATTAGATATAATGCCGTTGGCAACTCTAACGGCTCCTTGGACCGAGCACCGCATAAATGAGAAGGTACGAAAAAAAATTAATTTTTCTTTATATATAATATATCTTTTGATATGTACGATTTAAAATATAAATATGTGTATTTTATTTTATTTTTTCAAATATATTTCTTCTTTTTATTCCAACATTTAATATACATTTTCTAATATATACTTGTTGCTTTAGCAAAGCACAGAGATTCTTCCGGCCGAAAATCAGGAAGAAGCAATGATTCAAGGAAATTTACTGGAAAGATCAAATGGGTGCTCAGAGTCACATGAGATTGAAGTACGTGATATGGTGCGGGAAGGTTATGAAAAAGCTGAACCTTCTCATTTTGAACTGTTAAAAGTCCTTGGACAAGGTTCCTTTGGCAAGGTAAAGATAACACAAAAATACATAAAAATGCATATAAAATGTTTAAAATGCATATAAATACATCGAATATATATTTAATTATTTTCGCAATAATTACTTTAGTATACAGAGTGTAACAAAACTGGTCACTATTTTAGGTACATATTTAATTTATCGAAATGAGCAAAAAGTTCATATAAACATATGTCCAAAAATGCATCAGTTTTATGTTGCCATCATGTTTGACTTGAAATATTAATATAATGTTGTTTAATTACTGTTTATTTTGTAAAATGGAAAATTTTTCTGTAATATAGAAATAGCAACTACAAGTAGAATATGCTTCTGAAATAGTGACCCATAGTTTTGTTACACTCCATATATATATATATATGTATGTATATGATTTAATTTGTATGACTTAATTTTAAAATTTTTGTAGGTATTTTTAGTAAGAAAGGTTGTTGGAAATGATAGTGGTACGCTATATGCTATGAAAGTTTTAAAAAAAGCAACGTTAAAAGGTACTGGAAGACACTATTAAATATTGACAAATATATTTTTGATTGTTATAGTTATACTTATTTCATTATATGCATTTGTCTTTAGTTCGTGATAGAGTTAGAACTAAAATGGAAAGAAATATATTGGTTGATGTAGAACATCCATTTATTGTCCGATTGCACTATGCATTTCAAACGGAAGGAAAACTCTATCTAATTCTAGATTTTTTAAGAGGGGGTGATCTTTTTTCCAGATTATCCAAAGAGGTAATTATTATTTGCAAATGGCTAAATATATTGTTGCCTTGTTCTGACGTTTGAAAAAGCCTAAACATATTTTATATCATGAGAAAATGTAATGATAATTTTAATAAGAAATTGTATATAATTAATATATTGTAGATATGCATTATTTATATAGTAATATTTCATAGTTTGTATTTTTAGTATCAAAAGGTATACCATATCTCAAACTATTCATTTTTTAGTCATTTATAATTTTTTGTGCAGAAAATTGCGAGGAATCGATTTATATAAAAAAAATTATAGTAATTTTATTTACAAAAAAACAAATGTCCTTCAAGTGACCTTGAGAAACGTTCTACATAAAAAGTCACCATCTTCTGTTCTCCATCAAATCAAACAACTTTTTTCGAAACATTTTGTTGTTCAATAAAAATATAAAAATTTTTTGAGTGGTTTAAAATAGAATATCCTGTGTATATGTATATATATATTTTTAAATGTTTCAGGTAATGTTTACAGAGGAAGATGTTAAATTTTATTTGGCCGAATTAGCACTCGCTCTGGATCATATACATAAGCTCGGAATTATTTATCGAGATCTCAAGCCTGAAAAGTTTGTATTTGTTCGCGATATATTGCGAGTCTATATGTCTCCTTTTTTTATAATATATAATATAGTAATTTTATTTAATATATAATATAATATTTTATATATTTTATAATATAGATATCCATTATTAGTGCATTTGATTAATTTTCTCTTTTTTTATATAATATAGTATTTTATTAGATACGGAAGGTCACATATCTCTGACAGATTTGGCTTAAGCAAACAACCATTGGACGATTCAAAAGCGTATTCGTTTTTGTGGCACTGTTGAATATATGGCACCGGAAATGTCAATAGAAAAGGACATACTTTTACATCGGATTGGTGGAGTTTTGGTGTCTTAATGGTTCATTTTATATATCTTTATGTGTAACTGATGAAAAAACTAAGATAATAAGACTTCTTAAAGCGGCTATGTTAGATTGTGATGTCAGAGACAAGGAAATACAAAATTCTTAGATATAATTTTTAAATGAAAAGATTTGATTAAACACTATTTCAAATGGCTTTAGCACACTTTAAAAATACCTCGAAAACTGTTCTTCTGACAGTCATTATGTTTGTATATAAATATAATATATTTATATATAAATATATTTATGTACAATATATAATATATAAATATAATATATTTATATATAGATATATTTACGTTTTCTCACCTCTGATGTCACAATTCCAGCATGATTGGCGAGGAACCAGGAGCTTTAAGAAATTAAAAATTAATTTAATTTCCTGGAGTGTTTACGAAATACTTGGACAAACTTCTAGAGTGTATTCCTCATGTCAGTATAAGAAATGCGCTCTGGAAGTTTGTCCAAGCATTTCGTAAATATCCTTTATTTTCATACTTCAATATTTCAGTTTGAAATGCTGACAGGTGCTCTTCCATTCCAAGGGCAAATCGTAAAGAAACAATGACACAAATCTTGAAAGCTAAGCTCGGAATGCCACATAATCTTTCACCAGAAGCACAAGCACTTTTGAGGGTATTGTTTAAGAGAAATCCAGCGAACCGCCTTGGTTCTGGTAATTATAAAAAAATATTTTTATATTATATGCTATTATACAATATATTATTATTATTGTATTATTTTATTATTTTTTATTTTATATTATATGTATTTTTATATATTAAAAATTAAAACAGCCTTTATAAATTTTTTATCTTAGGTGGGGTGGAAGAAATTAAGAGCCATATTTTCTTTGCTACTATCGATTGGGGTGCTCTTTATAAAAAGGAAATAAGGCCACCATTTAAACCAGCTGTTAGAGAAGACGATGCGTTTTACTTCGATAGCGAATTCACCTGTAAAACACCTAAAGGTGACCGATCTCCTTAAAAACAGAAGAAAAAAGGAAGAACAGTGGAGTAAACTCAAATTAATAATGATTAAACGTGGTTCTGATATCTTTGTGAATTCTTGCATCTTTTCAGATTCTCCGGGGTACCACCTAGTGCGACTGCTCACGAATTATTTCGCGGATTCAGTTTCGTTGCGCCCTGTTTGCTTGCGGATACGGACCATGTGAAATCTCCGGAGAGCAAAACTTACGATAGTATCAGCGCTGTCTTTCCAGCTTATGTCAATTCCGTTTCTATAACTGACGAATACGAATTCAAACACGAGATTGGCAAAGGAAGCTACAGCGTAGTTTACTTAGCGGTCCATATAGCATCCAAGACAGAGTATGCTGTGAAGGTAAGGAATATATTTTTAAAATGCACTTGAGAAGCAAAACAAATTTGCACATTGCTCACCATTTTATTTCGCTTATTAAAATGGTTTTTCAATGATGGCTTTCTTTTAGAGGAAACTTAACTTGCACAAAATAAAATTAAAAGCAATATGCAAGTAAGCTTCCTCCATAATTGAAAAACCATCTTAATAAACGAAATAAAATGGTGAGAAGCAAGGTGCAAATTTCCAATTTGCACATTTTTTTTCATGAAATAATTTTTTAAGATTTCTATACTAATCTTTATATATAAGCACCGTCTGTCTGTATGTATGTACGCGAACTACTCCGCATTTGTGGACCGATATTCGTGAAACTGGTACCAAAATGTTGCAAATTTTTTGGGGGTGGCTGCTGTGGGTTTTTTTTTTAATTTTTTAATTTTTTTTTTTTCTACAGAGGAGGGTATGTTTAATCTTTTTTTGCAATATTTCTGAACACATGGTATCAAAATGTTGCAATTTTTTTGGAGATAACGACGATGCGGTTTTTTTAAGTGTTACACCCCCACCCACGCACCCACCCACGCATCCACCCACGCGCATGCGCATTTATGGACCAATTTTCACGAAATTAGTACCAAAATGTTGCAAATTTTTTTGAGAAAATACTGGTTTATTTTTTTAAGTTTACCCCTCCACCCACGCACCCACCCACGCAATCGTATATTTATGAACCGATTTTTTTTAAATTGGTACCTCTTCCGGCTCTTGCCCATCGAGCTTTCTGTTTTACTGCAAAAAATGATTATATTACATAATATTTATTTATAATATTATATTATTATATATAATATTGAGGAGGGAGAGGGAGAGAGAGAGAGAGAGAGAGAGAGAGAGAGAGAAAGAGAGAGAGGGATTAATTTAATCTATATATATAAGCACCGTCCGTCTGTCTGTCTGTCTGTCTGTGCCCGAACTACTTCCGCATTTGTGGACCGATTGTCTCGAAATTGGTACCAAAATGTTGCAAATTTTTCGGGGGTGGCTGCTGTGGGTTTTTTTTTAATTTTTTTATTTTATTTTTTTTCTTCAGAGGAGGGTATGTTTTTGCGAAAAAAATTTTTTTTTGCAATATTTCTGAACACATGGTATCAAAATGTTGCAAAATTTTTGGAGATAGCGACGATGCGGTTTTTTTAAGTGTAACACCTCCACCCACGCATCCACCCACACGCATGCGCATTTATGGACCAATTTTCACGAAATTAGTACCAAAATGTTGCAAATTTTTCTGAGGAAACTGGTGTTTTATTTTTTTAAGTTTACGCCTCCACCCACGCAATCATCCACGCGCGTGCGCATTTATGGACCAATATTTTTACGAAATTGGTACAAAAATGTTGCAAATTTTTGGAGATGGCGACGATGCGGTTTTTTCAAGTGTTACACCTCCACCCACGCACCCACCCACGCGCATGCGCATTTATGACCAATTTTCACGAAATTAGTACCAAAATGTTGCAAATTTTTCTGACAAAGCTGGTGTTTTATTTTTTTAAGTTTACGCCTCCACCCACGCACCCACCCACGCAATCGTATATTTATAAACCGATTTTTTAAAAATTGGTACCAAAATGTTGCAAATTTTTTGAAGATGGCGACGATGTGGTTTTTTCAATTGTTACACCTCCACCCACGCATTCATCCACGCGCGTGCGCATTTATGGACCAATATTTTTACGAAATTGGTACAAAAATGTTGCAAATTTTTTTGAGAAAGCTGCTGTGTGGTTTTTTAAAGTTTTATCCCACCCACGCATTCACCCACGCATTCACACATTTATTCACAGACTTTTTCGAAATTTGTACTCAAATTTTGTTGAGGATGGCTACTATGATTTTAACAAATTTTTATCATCCTATTCATCCACCCACGCACCCATGCACCCATGTGCATACGCATTTATTGACTTGGTCACACCAATAAGTAATTTTAAATAAATTTGTGTACATGTTTGTGATTGCAAAAATTTGCAACATTTTGGTACTAATTTCGTGAAAATTGCATACAAATTAAAGGTTTATTTACACGAATTGCACACATAATCACAAATACGTACACAAATTTTTTAAAAATTACTTCTTGGTGTGACCAAGTCAATAAATGCGTATGCAAATGGGTGCATGGGTGCGTGGGTGGATGAATAGGATGATAAAAATTTGTTAAAATCATAGTAGCCATCTCCAACAAAATTTAACTACAAATTTCAAAAAAGTATGTGAATAAATGTGTGAATGCGTGGATGCATGCGTGGGTGGGATAAAACTTAAAAAAACCACACAGCAGCTTTCTCAGAAAAATTTGCAACATTTTGGTACTAATTTCGTGAAAATTGGTCCATAAATGCGCATGCGTGTGGGTGGAGGTGTAACACTTGAAAAAACCACATCGTCGCCAAAAATTTGCAACATTTTGGTACCAATTTTTAAAAAAATCCGTTCATAAATATGCGATTGTGTGGGTGGATGCGTAGGTGAAAGCGTAAACTTAAAAAACCCCACACACATACACAGAGAGAGAGAGAGAGAGAGAGAGAGAGAGAGAGAGAGAGAGAGAGAGAGAGAGCGTGTGTCTTAAAGAAAGAGGGAGGGAGAGAGATAAGGAGAGACAGAGCATGTGTCTTAAAGAGAGAGAGAGGGAGCGCGTGTGTTTTAGAGTGAGAGAGAGAGAAAGCGTGTCTTAAAAAAAGAAAATAAAATATCTGAGAGAAAGAAATAAATAACATAGTAGTCATCCACAAAAAAATTAAACATTTATTTTGGTATAAATTTCGTGAAAGTCGAACAACAAATGTGGAAGTAGTTCGCGGTAATACAAAAAAAGAATTAATTTTTTGTGTTAAAACGGATTTAATATAGACTATATGAGGACCGCGCAAAGCGCGGTCCGAATAGAAAGGCTGGCTTTGAGGACCGCGCGAAGCGGTCCTCAAAGCCAGCCTTTCAGCTGAAATAAAGCTAGTAGAAAATAATGCTAATAAAATAATGTGTTCATAATGTTTCAAAATTGAAAATTTTTAATTAATAGAAATCTACATTCTCCAATTCACGCCAATTTACAATCAGTAATTTTTTAATGATATTTTATTCAAATGTTTCAAATAAAAAAAGTTACACCTAAAATAAATTCTAAATTTTTTAAAAAATAAACCATTTTACAAATTCTCCACAAATTCAATATCATTTTTTTAACAATTTTATATAAATTCGATATTTCAAAATTTACGAATGTTTAAGCATGTATATTTTTTTGAAATTAAGAATTTAATAAAAAAATTTTTTTATTAATCCTCGTCAAATTAAATACCAAACATTAATGATACTCTATTTATATAAAAATATTTAGTCTAATATCTCAAAATTTACGGAAGTTAAATGAACCACATACATTTCTAAAAAAAAGAATTTTATAAAAATTTTATAACAAATGAACCGTTTTACCAATCATCGCCAAACTCAATACCAACTATCCTTTAATAATAATCTATTCATATAAAAAAAAATTAAGTTTAACATTTCAAAATTTCGAAATTTAAAAAATGCATATTTCTTAAAATACAAAATTCAAAAAAATAAATCTTTTAACAATCATCGCCAAATCAATATCAAACATCCTTTAATAATCCTCTATTAATATAAAAAAATTTATCATGATTTTTTAAAATTTACGTTAAAAAGTTAATGCAATAACAATTTTCATAAAGTTTGAAATTTAAAAAATCCTTTCATCGATTCTCCTCAAACTCAATACCTTGCTTTAATGATAGTCTATTTATATAAAAAAATAGCCCAATATCTTAAAATTTACAGAAGTTAGAGCAACCACAAACATTTTTTGAAAAATTTAAATTGCATTGAAATTTTAAAAACTACAAATTTTTATATAAATGACAGTAGATAAAAGCGTTGTATTACTTTACTTGTATTTCAAATTGGAGCACTGTAAGTAAAATACTGTTTAAGATATTTAAATTAAAAAAAAAAAATAGGTGAGTACATACATACATATGGATATTTAAAAAAAATGTGATTTTTCGACGTTTTGAAGCATTCTGAACACATGGGATAGAAATCTGAAAAAATTTTTCATAAAAACAAAGCTTTTTCTATGAGGAAGTAAAAGAATATTTAAACAAAACTCTAAACACAATATAGGTGATCGAAAAATCAAAACGAGATCCGACGGAGGAAATAGAGATTTTATTACGATACGGTAGACATCCTCATATCGTAACATTGAGAGGTGTTCACGAAGACGACAAACGAGTGTATCTCGTCCTGGAACTTCTGCGCGGTGGTGAGCTTCTTGATCATTTGCTGCAAAGACGAAACTTCACTGAACGCGAAGCTGCCGAAGTCATTTTCACTATCACAAATGTGGTGCATTATCTTCACGAGAACGGAGTAAGTTGGAATCTTCAGAAATGCAAGTTTTGTATTACTTAATGACTTTGTACATATGTATCTTAAGCTTTACACATATATTATATTTATTTATGAGAAACGATACATTATTATTGTATTAAAAGAAAGAAAAAAAACAGGTCGTTCATAGAGATTTGAAGCCATCGAATATTCTATATGCAAAATCTGGTGGTGATCCAACGACACTTTGTATATGCGATCTCGGGTTCGCAAAGCAATTACGAGCGGAAAATGGTTTATTAATGACGCCTTGTTACACTGCAAACTTTGTAGCCCCTGAAGTATTGAAGCGTCAAGGATACGATGCAGCGTGTGATATTTGGTCGCTCGGAGTTCTATTATACATCATGTTAGCTGGGTAATAAAAAAAGAAATATTTATGAGCAGGATGTCTGCTGAAATAATCGGGGATTGTCAAGGATATTTTTTTATTTTACCTTGTAAATTCAGAAATTTCTCATGGAATTTTATTGAGACGCGAAAAATTTTTTAAAAATATTTAATAAAATGTTTTTAAAAATTGTATCTTTGATCATTTTACTCTTATATATTGCAAGAGGTCAATAATTCTTTGTAATCGTATGAATAGTAAACATTAGAAAGCCCATACATTGAAGAAACTTATTTTAAAAAACTGCATCTACAAATTTTCTTATTTTACTTGAAATTTTAAATAAAAAATATTTGAAAGATTAGGAAACTCAGGGAATATTTTTATAAGATTCCAGTAGATACTCTGAAAGTGATGACTTATTATAAGAAATTTCTATTGATTTTATTGATCTATTTTTTTTCTAGGTACACACCTTTCCGTAATAGTCCAGGAGACAGTGCGAGCGATATATTAGATCGGATCGGGCCGGGATATATAGACGTAGAAAGCGGGATATGGTGCCATATTTCGAATGAAGCTAAAGAGCTGGTTAAAAGGATGTTGCATGTAGATCCCACTCGAAGGCCTACAGCAGCAGTTATTTTAAAATATCCATGGATTATAAATCGACACTGCATACCTCAAAAAATATTACCGGATGTTATTAAGGATCCGCATAATTTGAAGGTAATGTCAAAATACACAAATATATTTGTCACTTCTGTTGAACATTTTTTGTTTTTAAATCCCGAAGTTATTAAATTAATGTGTTATTTCGTAGCTGTAAATGCAACATTTCTATATAAAAGGACCCCATATAATTTTTATGGAAATTGGATTTCGATAGAATTGGCTGGTTTTTTCATATGTTGTAGCTTATAATCTGCTGAACAAAAAATGTAATAGGTTCAAAATTAAATAATGGACAGTTACTGAATTATAGCCAGACAAAACAACTTGCAAAACCCAAATGTTTCGTGTTTGACTAGCTGTAAATTAGTAACGATCTATTATTTAGTTTTAAATCTATTACATTTTTGTTCAAACCCTTTATATATTCTTTCAAGAAGATGAACATTTTTCCTCCATATGAAATTTCTATTCTTCTGAAGGATCCTAAATCTAAATTATTTGCTCTTTTCTAAAAAATTATCAATCTTTAATTTTGTTCTTTATAAATCAATTCACATTCAATCAATTATCTGCAATTGTCATTTGCTTACTTTGGATTGTGACTATAATTTTTTCACTGTTATATCAAGCTATATCTTTAAAAAAGATTTTCAGCCAATTATTATTACATTGTTAAATTTTGATCATCAGTTTTTGGCTTGATGGTGAATCATTTTAGTCACCCTGTTGTCATCAAATACATAAGACGATATTTTGTTCAGCAGATCATAAGCTACAATATATGACAAAATATGCCAGTTCCATCAATTTTATAAAGATTGTGCAGGATCCTTTCTAGCAAATCTACACCATTTATATTTTACAATAAATTCTATTTTTCAGATGGCAGTAGCTGCGACGTATAGAGCAATGGCGAGTAGTCCAAGATCACCCCATATTGGTCCTGTGGTTATGTCTGAGTTAGCACGTCGTAGAACACAAGGCAAAACTGCTGGTCCCACTCAAGTTTAAACTTAACATCTGTTGTATATGACAAGTTCAATTTTTAGATTCAAGATTTACTCAGAAATAGGATATATATAACAAAGTTGTTTAAAGTACAAGCGATTTAAAATATTGGAAATAGTTTAAATTGACGATATCGTGATTAATCTCTCAATATCGTAAATATTGTCAATGGAGAGTTTACAGAAGGACGTTTATGACAGAGAGCCGAATGTGATATTTATTTATAATTTTCCATATATATATATATTGTCTTTAATATATATACTTATATATATATATTATATGCGCCTATATATTTGTCACATGTTGCCATGGCTCGCGGAAGTGCAAACATTTGTGACAATAATTAATTGTCAAAAAGTATGTGCTTTCTTCTGAATATTTTTTTATTTAATTACCATATATTTCATGATAGAATGTAGTATGAAAGATGTTGAAGTAATAATCATGTTGAAATAATAATCAATTACAGTTCTCTCAAATAATCCATAAATATTTAATAACATAAAGATATTCTGATGTATTATGTGTAAAATTTTATCTGTGCAATGTAGTTAGGTAAGATTAATTTTTTAACTACATGTATACCGAATAAGTGTCTTATATATTTCCGCCTAAAGTTTGAACTTTTAAAAACGTTTCTGAAAATTCCAGTGTTTTTATGGGCACGAGTTCTAAAAGACGTGTGATGTAATTACGAAATCGTGCAAAATAAAACTATTTAATCATTGTTTAATTGTAATATTTAGTTAATAATTTGTTAAATAAAATTAAAATTGTATAAATTACATAACAATTGTTATATTAGTGTTTTTTTCCAAATTTTTTACAGTTCTCAGTTCTCATGTCAAAATATTGAAGAAATCTATCATTGTTTTTAGCTCAAATTGATTTAATTTTTTGTTAATTTTTTATTTTTATCAATGCAAAAGGTTTCCGTATGGATGCTACGTGGTTTAACAGCGTAATTTTCACTTTCACGTTTTCACTTTAGAAAAAGTTATAGAATCGATACCCAGAGATGCGCCAACTCCGAACCATTTTTGATTGGCTCTCGAAGTCACGTGGTTTTTCCGCCATCTTCCGACTATTGCAAGCGCGCGTTGACACAAAGGGTGCATTCGTTTATGCAGCGATTAGCGCATCCACTGCGTCTATTATCTGCGAGTCACGTGACATCATTTATCGAACGATCACCTGCGTGAATTGACTGCTCAGATTGTAATTGGAGTGCGTAAGTAAAGAAATTTTAAATAAATATGAATTATTATTTGAATAAATATAATAAAATTTTTAAATAGGTTGAAGGTTCTGACATATGACGTGTGCACATAACATTTTCAGACAGTGATGACGGTAGGATTGAAATGTTGCTGAATGTAGACTTCTCAGATTTTTCCAAACTAACTGGGGACGAAGTAGCTTGATAGCTAGGAATGACTGTAACAGAATTGCATCTTTATACAAAGCACATTTTTTTTAAACAGATTACTTTAAATTTATATTCTTGATAAAAGTGCATTTTTAAGTTAATTGGATCGTAAATATAAATTAACAGACTTCATAATTTTATTGTATTACTTACCTTGCATTACTTTTAGTTTTGTAGGACCTATTTGGAGGAGTTATTCTCCACCTTCTTTGTTCTGAACTTTCATAACATACCTGTAACTCATAATTGAAATAATTTTCAGGCAACGTTTCCAAGTTCAATTGGCTTAACAATGGAGAAGACTCATTTACGCAGTAGTCCGCAGTACTGCGAGCAAAGCATCCTGAGCAGGAACTCCGAGATGGCTGCGCAGATAGGCAGCAGCTCTGCTTAAACGAACAACAAACTGCGCTGCAGTCGGTTGCGCAGGTGGAGTAAACGAACGACATCTGCGGCATTCTGCGGCAGTCACTGCATAAACGAATGCACCCAAATCACAGATTAATAGACAGATCGCCAAAGGTCTGGACACAGATTAATAGACAGATCGCCAAAGGTCTGGATGAAGGAGAGACCAGCATTTCTCACTGATTTCAGCGCCATATCGTAGTAGTGGTCAATGCAGTAACTATTAATACGTTCCCAAGATAAGAGCGTCTCATGCTCATGAACTCGTCCGGCGGCATGTACGAGATTTATCTTTTCGTAGCGTTCGCGTATTTCGGAAAGGACAAAATTTTATGATGTTATAAATTGTTGAAGATTCGTTCTTCGGATCGAATCCTCGAGGACGATCGAATTTTCTAGAATGTTTTTTGTTAAATTCCTTAGTGTTTACGCCAAGGAAACACGTGAAACCAACGTGTACACTCGCCGCTAATTGGCGTGTGTACATCGCCTGATTTTCCGATGGTCCAATCGAGGACCCCGATCGGCTGCCGCCCTACGCGAGCTCCGAAATTCGCGCAGCCCTCGAGTCAGTCCTCGAGAGAGCGAGCGCCGAGAAACATAAGTCTAGGTACGCGACGAACTTGTAGAAAGTGAATAAACTAAATTAAACCGTTTCAAAACGCGTACAATTATTTGATCACGTTAACCCGGCATCCTACAACGTTAAATCTTATACATATAAAAATGGTCCTTCGAGCCGGATTTAAAAACCGATCGAGTGATAGTGAAATCGCGAAAAGAACGGGCTCCTTCGTTTCGTACCTTATTCGAACAATTGACAATTTCTGCCTCGTGTGCCTATATCGGGGCAGTAAATTTAAAAACGCAGTGATCCGCGGCAAGAGAAATACGCTAATTACGCGTTCTCGTTTAGAGTAGAAAAACTCCGTGTGCGGGAGTGAGACCGCGCTACAAGACAACAAGCCGTCGCGCGCGCTCCGAAACAGTCTATCTCTCTCTCTCTCTCGCGCTCTCTCCAAGACGTGAAGAGCGAGAGAGACGGTATCACGCCGCGCGCTCCGAAGCTCTCTCGCTCGCTCTCTCTCTCTCTAGCTGCGGCTCTCTCGGCCGCGCGCCTGCCGTCGCTCCGGCCTAAGCCGCGGCGCTCCGGCCACGTGACGGTCACGCGCCCTCACGTACCCGGTGTACATCGAATTCTGCATTTGAGTAGACAGAATTTCGACGTTGAAGTGTCACTTGCAGTGCAAGCGCCGCTATCACGCGCTTTGCAATCTTGCATTCGGACGGCAGTTAAACGCCGTTCGAGATTAGTGACTGCACGTGTACTCCGCTACTCGCGCTCAGTGACTCTCAACTCCGGCGCCGCTATCACGCGCCAGTGATTTTTAATTGAGTGCGGTGAACATACGCGAGTTATCCGCAAGCGCCGCAAGCACGCGCTTTGCGTTACGGTATTCGCAGTGACTCTCAATGATTAATCGTGACTCGTACTGATTAACAGTGACTCTCAGTGAACGTGCGCCGCTATCACGCGCACCGCACCGGTGAATCTTAACCAGTGCATTTTTCTCACTGACTTTTGACTCTCGCAGACCGAAGTGTAAACGACCGCGAACGCCGCTATCACGCGTACGCGTCGTGCATCTCTCTGTGACTCTCTCGATCATCTTGGTGATTTTCGACGTTTCTAAACATTTTAAAAGGTGCGCGACTCGCTATTTCGACGCCGCTATCACGCGTCCGCCGTCGTGCATCACTCTGTGCCTCTCTCGATTATCTTGTTGATTTTCGACGTTTCTAAACATTTAAAAAGGTGCGCGACTCGCTATTTCGACGCCGCTATCACGCGTCCGCGTCGTGCATATCTCTTGACTCTCTCGATCATCCCGGTGATTTTCGACGTTTCTAAGATTTAAAAAACCACGCGATTTGCAATTTCGACGCCGCTATCACGCGCCACGCAATCGCTTCGTGTGAGAAAGACAGCCGATAACGGCTTAACGAGACGGTGCGCTAGCTCGCGCTCGGACTCTCTCTCTCTCTCTCTCTCTCTCTCGCGCGTCAATCAGCGGGCGCTTCAAGTCCGCGCGCGCGCTTGAAGATTTCGCTTCAGTAGCGAATAATCGATAAACGATTCAACAATCCGGCATCGATAATCATGTCGACTGTCGTGAGTGACCTGCTCATCGAGCAGGGAGCTTGTATTGACGAGATCAAACGAGATCTCGTCAACTTCAAGAAGCTGGCCAAATCCAACGTGACACTCGCCAAGACGCGAAGTAGGCTTGCCAAGTTGGAGGAGCACTGGGCCGCCTGCCGCGGCCTTCATGTCAAACTGCTTCAAAAGACGACCACGGAGCAGCAAACGACCTTGCCGTATTTCACTCTGGAAGAGTTCCTGAGAGCTGAGGATGTCTACATCGACACGGCCGATCTGCTGCAAGATACGATAAGTCGATTATCTCCTAATACAATTCCGTTTACCGATCGTAGTTCCGATTCCTCCGTTCGCGAAACAAATAATCATTGCTTCCAATTGCCACGCATCGCGCTGCCAAAGTTTTCTGGGAAATTAACCGATTGGGAAAATTTCCGAAACATTTTCGAATCTCTTGTAGTAAGTAACGACGCTCTTTCAAATTCACAAAAATTTCATTACTTAAAAACGAGCGTAACGGGAGACGCTTCCTTGCTGATCAATAATTTAAAAATTTCCGATGCGAATTACGAATCTGCCTGGCAATTGTTAACCAATGAATACGACGATAAGCAAGCGTTAATCTATGCTCATTTACACGCGTTTATTAGCCTTCCGGTAATGAAAAGCGAGATTGTCAGCGATTTGCGAAAATTGCGCGACACAGTGTCTGCATCGTTAGCCGCGTTAAAAAATCTCGATCGTCCCGTAGAACAATGGGACGACATTCTTGTTTATACAATAACGCAAAAGTTTAGCGCGAGAACACGTACCGAATGGAATTTAAGGCGAATCAAACGAAATGAGCCTTCTTCTTATCAGGAGCTTAATGAGTTTTTAACTCTCCGTATACGCGGATTGTCGGACTTTGCCGATTCAAGCAAGGACTCCGGTTTTTCGAAAAATGATAAACCGCGTTTAACAGTAAACAACGTGACTGCCTTTAAATGTATTTGTTGCTCCGGTGAGCATCACGTTTCGAAATGCGAAGACTACGCGAAGAAATCAGCTTCACAGCGCTTTGCTCTCGCGCGCCAGCATAAACTCTGCTTTAACTGCTTAAAGTCCGGACATTTCCCGTCGAAATGCCCGAGCAAATATCGGTGCAGACAATGTCGTCGCTCGCATCACACATTGCTGCATTCAGCGGCAAATCAAAATGCCTCCGATAACTTGGCCAGTTCCGAGGCTACTATCTCCGAATCAGCGTCACAAGCCGCATCTAATGCGACTACTAATCAAACGGTCAATACGATTGCGGCCGTCCAGATAGTACCCCCCTCGCTTCAGGAACATCCAAATGTCCTTTTGGCGACCGCATGGGTCGACCTCCACACCGGGGAGGGTCGCTGCTTAAAGGTTCGCGCGTTGTTGGATCAAGGATCCACTTTTAGCTTTATATCAGAATCGCTCTCACAGGCGTTGCGCACTAAACGGCAACGAGCCGATTTACAAATTAAATGCTTCGGCGAAAAATACACGGGTACTGCGAAATCGCGCGTAAAACTACAGTTAACCCCGTGTGCTCAAGCCGATCCGAGCTTTCCTCTGACGGCTTACATTTTTCAACGCATTACTTCATACGCTGCCTCGCGGATTCAGCCCTTCGATGCGTGGCCTCATTTACAGGGTCTATCTTTTGCTGACCCTGATCCTTCCAGTCAACATCAAATTCATTTGTTGATCGGTGCTGACCTTTACGGCTCGCTTCTGAAGCGCGATGTCCGTCAAGGTCCTATTGGAACTCCGACAGCGCAATTGACCGCTCTCGGTTGGATCCTTTCCGGCCCCACAAATAGTAGGCCGACTACTACTGCTCAAGCATCTGTATTAAACTGCGTGTTGGAACAAAGCACGCACTCTCTTCTCCAGAAGTTCTGGGAAGATGAGGAGATCTCGCGGCCTGTCCCCCTCACGGAGGAGGAGGAGAGGTGCGAGGCTCATTTCATCGCCAACCACTATCGTACCCCTCAGGGACGCTATGCGGTTCGATTGCCCTTCAGGCATGATTTCCCGATAAAAATCGGTGATTCTTTGCACATTGCAACCTCGCTTTATAATAAAATGGAAGGAAAGCTACGGCTTCGTCCTGAACTTCACGCGCAGTACAACGAGTTCTTACGAGAGTACAATTCGCTCGGTCACATGAGGAAGGTGGAATTATCTGACCGCTCCGAGTTCGAGCCGGTATATATTCCTCATCATCCCGTTTTGCGCGACTCGAGTTGCACTACGAAATTGCGCGTTGTCTTCAACGCTTCGTGCAAAACGAGCAATAAGACTTCGCTTAACGATCACTTACTGATCGGTCAGAGACTGCAGCAAGACCTCTCCGCTATATTATTGCGCTGGCGTCAATGGCAATTTGTTTACACGGCGGACATTGCTCAAATGTTCCGCCAAATTCTCGTGCATCCGTCTGACGCGGATTTTCAAAGAATCTTATGGCGATCGTCGGCCGATGGGCCGATTGAACACTATCGCCTTCTCACTGTAACGTACGGGCTCGCCCCCGCTCCGTACCTCGCAATGAGGGTACTGAAACAGCTTTCTCTAGATGAAGGCGACAACTATCCCGCGGCCGTTCCAATTCTCAGCGAGTCCCTCTACGTGGACGATGCACTCTTTGGAGCGGACGATACGACTTCATTGATAGAAGCTCGTGTCCAACTAGTTGAGATCCTGCGAAAGGGAGGTTTTCAACTACGAAAGTGGGCTTCTAATGCCTCCTCTCTTCTTCAAGGACTTTCGGCTCATCAGCCGGAAGTCACCGATCATTTACTCGTAAAAGAAGATAATCTCAAGGTTCTCGGGCTTTCATGGCTTGCTAAAGAGGACGCGTTCAAATTCGTGATAACTCCGTTGAGATTGGTTACGCACACGAAACGTTCCGTTC